AGGGCCACCGAGGCTGGCGAGCAGTGGGGAGGTGCCAGCTGGTGCCCACTTGCCGTGGCTGGGCTGGTGGCCGGTGCCAGGCTGGAGCAGTGCCCTGCAGGGTAGGCACCAGCATGGGGGCACAGTGAGGGCGACAGTGACAGCCAAGCGCTGGGCTGGGGCTCCCCACCGGACCCCAAGGGGCTGCACAGCCCCGTGCACGGCTGGTCCCGCAGTCGGGGTCCCCTTCGCTGTCCCTCCAGAGGCCGTGGCTGCTCGAGAGGGGCTGGGGTGGGCTCAGCCCCTTGTTTTCTTTAGGAAAACAAAGGCCTTTTTGGAAATAAAGCTCGAGACACGGCAGCTGGTTGTTGGTAGTGATTTTTTGGTGCTGTGAAAGGGTGCCATGCCTGTGCTGGGGTGCTGCATCCCCCAGGCCTGCCATGTGTGCAGTGAGGGATTTCTGCTGATCCGAGGATGCAGAGATGGGATCCTGGATGGGCAGAGAGGCTCTGGGGGTCGGGTGATCAGGGCAGGAATCAGCCCAGCCCTGGGGCAATGCCCCCAGCCACAGCAGCAGCACTGGGCTCTCCCTGCCAGCCATCATCATCCTCCAGCTCCTCGGCCCCTGGCACAGCCTCTGCTCCCAGCAGGGCGATGTAGTGGGAGCTGCAGTAGACGGGCGCCTTGTTGGGGCTCGAGTAGACCTGCTCAGGCCGCAGTGAGGCAAAGGGGTTGCTGGCGTAACCCACAATGTGCGTCTCGAGCTCCACAAGGACCTGCAGGGAGGCCTTCAGCTCCTGCTCACTGCCAGAGAAGAGGACAGGCACCATGAGAGGGTGTTTGTGCTGGCTCACCGGGGCGGTGGGGCTGTGCTCACCTGTACACGGTGAAGAGCACGGGAAGGCCATAGTCCCGCAGCAGCAGCAGGGTGGGCAGCCAGCCCGCCAGCAGGTCTGGGCAGGCATGGAAACCTGTGGGGACACCACCATGAGGGTTCCACCTCTTTCCCATCCCACCTGGGGAAAGCTGGCTCCAGCTGCATCCACTCTGTGCTGACACCCCAGAGTATTCAGTGAGTTTGGCAGCCCTCAGCAAAGTGGGGTCTGGCTCCTCACCAGCATGTGGGGCACCCCAAACTGCGGTCCTGGGCTAAGCCACAGCACCAAGACCTGAAGGGAAGGATCCTTTTCACCTGCAGGTGGGTGACAGAGGCGGGACAGACTGCCTGGTGACAAGGTTGCCATGTCCCAGGGGTCCCCCCAGCTGCCTGTTGTGCCTTGGTGAAAAGCCCTGGGCATGTCCCAGGACACCTTCAGGCTTAGCCCCAGGTGCTGCCAGAGCGCTCAGGGCAGTCTCTGAGCCCACGTGCCCTGTGGATGTCCCCATCCCAGCAGTCGGCGCAGGCACTTACCTGGGTGAAAGCCCACCACCAGGTCAGGACGGGCAGCCAGCTTGGTCTCCACGTGGCTTTCCCAGAAGTCGTGGTAGAGCCCCTTGTAGCTGCTGAGATAGACTTTTCCCCGGGGTGCCAGCGTGGTCAGGGGTGGCCTCATGATGGGTCCGTCCACCACGTCCACCCCCACCATCACCATCTCCACACCCTGGTGCCCCGGGAACATCCGTGTCAGCTCGTCGTAGTCTGTCAGCCGTGTGTTGAGGGTCTCCACGTGGGAAGCCCCCACCACGTGCACGGTGAGGGGCCTGGTGAGGGGGTCGATGCCAAAAATCCGCAGTCCCAGGCCGATGGTGAGGGGCCGCGAGTGGAAGTCGGTGATCAGGCGCCGGATGGATTCCCGCAGCTCTGTGTCCTCCGGCCGGGGCTTCCCAGCGTTGGCCCAAAGCAGGGTCATGTACCGCCCGGTCATGATGGCACTCAGCTTCTCCTCCAGCTGCTCCTGCATAGAGAACCAGTCCTCCCAGCCCTTCACGTCCCTCGCAGGTTTTGTCCAAGTGTCAGTGGGAAATGGGATGTCTCCTGGGGAGTCAGGAGGAGGTTGGACAGTACAGTGGTGGTGCCACAGCCCAGGCTGCCTGTCCCACCTGTGCTGTGGGAGTGGGGCTGGAGAAGGGACACTACATCCCACCACAGGACCTGTGCAGCCCGGGATGTGGGTCAGGCAGGTCCAGGGGACACACGCCTCACCTGTGAAGACGAGCCACTCCACCAGCCGGTCCAGGGCCACCAGCTTCAGCTTCTTGCAGAACTTCTTGTGCAGTGGCCAATTGGCACGCTGGCACGCCACACCACAGTAGTACACATTTTGGCACCTGGGCAGACAGGCAGCATGCCCAGCCATTGGGAGGAAAGGCACAATTTCAGCCCACTGAACCTGGCTCCCTGCCACCCCCTCTCAGGGCTGTGTCACTGTTCTGGGGGCGCCCTGTGGCTGGAGGTGGGCACTGGGGTCAGACACCCCTCACTTCACCCCAGCCACCAGGGTGGAAGTGAGGGATGGAGCCATCCCTGTGCCATCAGACCATCTCCCCACCATACCTTTTGCAACGCCGGAGGCTTTTGGGGTCCGGGAGTGCATCGGGGAGCTTCTTGCACTCAACGCAAAACTTGAAGGTGTCTTCCATCTTCTGGAACATGTCAAAATACGTCCGGATGCCAAAATCGCTGCCGCTCTTCCTCCCGTCCATGGCAGACCTACAGATGTCAGGGGGAGAGCAGAATCCAGCCCACTGCCACAACGGTGGGGCTGATGTCCTCTCTCTGAGGCTGCCAAGATTTTTAGCTCCAGCCAGGAGGATCCTGGCCTGGGTGGGGACAGGGAGCCAGGCACTACGGAGGGGTCCACCCAGGAGCCCATCAGAGCTCCCTGTGGGCTGAGCCGGGAGGGTGGGTTGAGCCATGGTAGCTGCTCCAGCTGCTGGGGGACACACGAGATGTTCTTCCCGGGGGAGGGGGTGGGGAATAGGCTCCCATGGGTGCTCACTCACTTGTAGTCCTCGTAGCTCTTCATGTTGAGTTTCTGCAGGATGACGTGGGACAGCCCTGGCACGTTGCGGTCCATGGCCTGGAAGCCCAGCGAGTCCACGTCGGGAGCCCTAGCCGCTGGCTCCTCCGGGGCCTTCCTGGAGCGGCCGGTTTTGGGGGCAGAGCCTGCGTTTGGCGGGGCCGTGGTGGCTGCAGAGAGGGGTGCAGGCGAGGAGGCCGGTCCGGGGGTCCCCGGGTG